TAATGTGTTTTGCATACTTATGCAGTTTTATGAGTATTATTTGTATTAAAACTTAAGCATTACTTTTTTCATATTTGTTATCAGCTACATAAATGTTTAACATATGTTACTTTATACACTTTTTTTTTTTTTACCTTCACAATGGCATCAATATATTCTGCAGTACCACCAGGTAATGTGTTTTGCATACTTATGCAGTTTTATGGGTTTTATGTGTATTGAAACTTAAACATACTTTTTTCATGTTTGTATGCAAATACATAAATGTTTAACATATATTACTTTAAACACTTTTTTTTTTTTTACTTTCACAATATCATCAATATTATCTCCAGTACCATCAGGTAATATGTTTTGCACAATTATGCAGTTTTATGAGTGTTATGTGTGTTAAAACTTAAACATTACTTTTTTCATGTTTGTATGCAATTTCATAAATGTTTAACATATGTTACTTTATACACTTTTTTTTTTACTTGCGCAATAGCATCAATATCATCTGCAGTACCATCAGGTAATGCGTTTTGCATTCTTAAGCAGTTTTATGAGTGTTATGTGTATTGGAACATAAACATTACTTTTTTCATGTTTGTATAAAATTACATAAATGCTTAACATATGTTACTTTATACACTTTATTTTTTTTTACCTTCACAATAGCATCAATATCATCTGCAGCACCATAAGGTAATGTGTTTTGCATACTTATGCAGTTTTATGGGTTTTATTTGTATTGAAATTAAACATTACTTTTTTAATGTTTGTTATCTATTACATAAATGTTTAATGTAAGCGTTTGTTTATATACTTTTTTGTTTATTTCCGCAATAGCAACAGTATCAACTGCAGTACCACCAGGTACTGCAGTTGATACTGTTTTCCATATTTATGCAGTTTTTCCATACTTATGTCGGGTTATTGTATATTAAAACTTAAACATTACTTTTTTCATGTTTATTTGCAATTACATATCTGTTTAATATAATAATGTGTTAGTTCATATACTTTTTTATTTATTTCCATAAAAGCAACAATATCTGCAGGACCATCAGGTAATCTGTTATGCATACTTATGCAGTTTTATGGGTGTTATGTGTATTTATGTATGTATATATGAAATTTAAACATTGCATATCCTTGTATTTACATTACTTTATTTACTTTTTTTTTTTTTTCATAACTTTTATTTTTTAAAGTCTAAATAGTTTTAAATAATAATTTTATTGGTTATTTTGTGCAGCATTGTATTCAAATTTTTTTTTATTTGTTTTTGTTTTTAAGCATCGCATCAAGATTTCCTGCGATATTGCTCTCAGCACCAAGCTCCGATATCTCAAAGAGCTTTCTACTGGTGGTGTCAATATGGGGAAGATGAGCCCTCCTTTAGATGGAGGAGACAAGCCCCATATGACACCACTGGTAGAAGGAGGGGTGCTTGGAAGCGGTTCAACATTTTTAATTTCTACCAGTAGCTTTTTTCAGCTACTAGTAGAATTATCTTCATTTTTAATTATAAAGAAAATTGACTTTTGAAAAAATGTTTTTTTTTAATTTTTAAATTTTTTATTATTTTAACTTTTATACTTTCACTATTTTATTTTTTTGATTTTTAATTCTGTTTTTAAATCCTAAACTTACAAAAGAACTCCTACGTTATAAAAGTTTTTAATAATTTGTCTATAAGTTTTTTTTATGAATTTACGTTTTTACATCTTTTTATTCTCATTTTTAATTTTATTAATACTAAATTTTCTTTTGTATTAACTTTTATTTGTTAAGTGTTATAAAGTTTTTGAAAGATTTGGTAAATATATTTAAATTTTTTCTTTTTCTATGATATCTATTTAACATGTCTAATATATGTACTATACACCTATTAATCTCTTTACATTATTCTCTTAAAATAGTATTTAAAATCAGTTGTCAGCCACAGGTGGTCTATATGATGCAACCTGTTTGCAATTGTTGGCATGTCATTTTTAAATTTGTAACTAATTTTGCTTTTTAACATTATCATTAATATGACTTTTAAAATAATAAATTTTTTTATTTGTTTCAAAAAATACTGTTTTATTACTTACGATATAGTATGTTATTACAAGAAACTTCTGGCTTTTTCTTTGTTTCAAACCAGTTTAGTTATAACTTTTGTTCACAAATTTTATTAGACGCTATTCACATAGTTCCACAGGTTTAAATTGATAATTAGCACTTAATTGTTTTTGTTCATTTTAGATTAGTATAAGCAAAAAATATCAGATAAAGTTTTATCAAACATAAATAATTTCTCAATTATGTCACGTAATTTAAGAGCTGAAAATAGAAGAAATCGTCGAAATGAGAGAAATGTTGCCAGACGAGAAGAAATTAATTGTTGCCAAAATGAGAGAAATGAGGCCAGATAAGAACCAATTAATCGTCTCCAAAATGAAAGAAATGAGGCTAGACGAGAAGAAATTAATCGTCGCCAAAATAAAAGGAATGAGGCTAGGCGAGAAGAAATTAATCGTCGTCAAAATGAAAGAAATGAGGCTAGGCGAGAAGAAATTAATCGTCGTCAAAAAGAAAGAAATGAGGCTAGACGAGTATTACTTAGGCGTGGAATGCATTGCGTAGCAAGAAATAATGTTATTATAGAGAGTAATTACCTAGGAGAAATGAACCATATTTGTCAGTATTGTAGTGCTAAAAATTTTTTTAAATGAAACACATTTTTTGTGCTGCCATTCAGGAAAGGTTGTCTTACCTCCACTTTCACCTTATCCACCGCTGATGGTTGATTTAATGACAGGCAACCATGTTGATCGCGCTTTGAATCAAAATTTTTTCAAGCATATACGAAATTATAATGCATGTCTATCTTTTGCTTCATTCATAGCCACAATAGATCCTCCGTCAAATCGTGGTCCACCCTGTTTTAGAATTAGTGGGCAAATTATGCATCGTATTGGTAATCTAAGACATCAGCAAGGTGATCCACCAGCTTATTGTCAATTATATGTTTATGATCCTAATACTGCTTTAAACTTTCGAATGGAGCAAAATGATTGTTGCATACGTGAGTTAATGAAACTTTTGTAGACTATAATTAATCAGGTGAACCCATATGCACTTGCATTTAAAAACATGGCAGAAGTTGAAGATGCAGAAATTCGTCAAGCTGCTATAGAAGGTTGACCGATTTCTGTTGTCAAAATGTCGTTGCTTGAGGGTTGTGATAGACGTCGATACAATCTTCCATCACATAAAGAGGTTGCCAATGTGTTTGTAGGAAATGATGGTGCTCCACCTCCATCTAGAGAAGTTGTTATTTATCCTCGAGGTCAACCCTTAAAAACAATTTTAAGTATGTCTGCAAATCTACATCCAATGATATATCCAATATTTTTTCCAAGAGGTGATGCAGGATGGCATGATCAACTAAAGCACAATCCTGACCGAGCAACACGTGTTCGAAATCGTGTTACTTTGTCTCAGTACTACAATTATAGGCTTTCTATTAGACAAACGTTCAGTCCTATATTTCATGGTAAGAAGCTTTTTAAACAGTATGCTGTTGATGCATAAGTCAAGATTGAAGGACAGCGCCTTGCTTTTATCAGAAATAACCAAAGCAAACTTTGAAGTGAACAATACGATACATTACATGAGTATGTAAATAATGTTGCAAATAACCTTAATGTAAGACCAAGTCGTGTTGTTATACTACCATCCTCATATTTAGGAAGTCCAAGAGCTTTAAAAGAAAATTTTGAAGATGCAATGGCAATTATAAAGAAGGGTAAACCAGATCTTTTTATTACTTTTACCTGTAATTACTTTTACCTGTAATTGTATGGTAAACCAGATCTTTTTATTACTTTTACCTGTAATTAAAAATGGAAAGAAATTACAGAAAATTTAAATCCAGGTGAGAGCGCAACTGACAGGCCTGATTTAGTTTGTCGCGTATTTGAGATGGAACTTAAATGCTTCTTAGGTGATATTTTTAAACATGGAGTCTTCGGCAAAGTTGTAAGTCATGTACAGGTTATTGAGTTTCAAAAACGTGGTTTACCACATTTGCATATTTTATTACACTTTGTAAATGATGATAAGCTAGAAACAGCAGAGGATATTGATAGTTTAATATCAGCTGAAATTCCAGATCAAACTGTTGGTTCTGAACTTTTTGAAATTGTAAAAACATGTATGATTCATGGACCATGTGGGATTTTAAGTCCTAATTCTCCTTGCATGATAGATAGAGTTTGCACAAAAAAATTTCCTAAAGAGTTAAATCCTCGCACTGTTGCAATTTTCAATGGTTATTCTAACTTCAGGCGTTTAGATAATGGTAACGTAGTTATTATAAAAAGTAACCAAGTTGATAATCGTTGGGTTGTACCCTATAACCCCTGGTTATCAAAAAAATACCAAGCCCACATTAATGTTAAAGCTTGCATGTCTATTAAGTCAGTGAAGTATTTATACAAAAAGGTCTATAAGGGGCATTATTGTGGGAATGTGGTAATTAATGAAAGTGTTAACCATGATGAAATCAACACATATTTAGACTGTCGCTTTGTTTCCGCCCCAGAGGCTCTTTGCCGAATATATGAGTATTCCATAAGTGATATGTCACATACTATTATCCGCCTTCAAATCCACTTTCCTGATAATCAGAGAGTATATATTATCGAAGGAGAAGAAGATCGTGCAGCACAGCGTGACACTCACCTAACCGTTTGGTTTAAGTTAAATGCTGAAAATAATGAAACACGTCAGTATTGTTATGTTGAAATTCCATATCAGTTTGTTTTTCGTAAAAATTGCAAGTGGAAAGTAAGAGGTACTGATAAAGTGGTTGTTCGAATGTATAAAGTCAGTTCATTTTACGAATTATTTTTTCTCAGATTGTTACTTTTGTATGTAAAAGGTGCAAAGTCTTTTGATGATTTGCGTACTGTTTATGGTACTGCTGTTAGTACATTTCGTGAAGCATGTTATCATTTAGGTTTATTGCAAGATGACATTGAGTGGAGAAATACATTAACTGAAGCTGCTGCAACTCGGATGTCTAAACAAATTAGGCTACTGTTTTCCAATATATTAACTTTATGTAAACCTGATGATCATTTACACCTTTGTAATACATTTAAAAATTATATGATTGAGGATTACATACACCGTTCAATGCCAGTCGTACTTGCTGAGCAGGCAGCTCTTCGTCAAATTGAATCTATAATTAATCAGAGTGGTAAAACCTTAGCTGATTATAATTTTCCAGCTTTAGATCAGTTTTTATATAATGTCCCAGAAAATGATGAAGAAGATGTTCAGGTGTTTATTGATGAAGCAAACCTAGTTAGACCATTATTGAATGATAATCAACGTAATGCAGCTGATGCGATCCTTGCTGCACTAAGTGTGGAACCTACTAATAAAAATAAGCATTCAAGGTTGTTTTCCATGAATGGGCCTGCCGGTTGTGGTAAAACGCTTACTTACAATTATTTAATTGCTGAAACACGAAGCAGGCATATTAGAACTGCAACAGCTGCATGGACAGGAATAGCTGCAACTCTTCTCAAAAATGGGTGCACAATGCATGGCTTAATCAAACTTCCTGTTCCAATTTTGGAAACTAGCACATGTAATGTAACTCCAAACTCTATTCATGGTAGATTCCTGAGAAAAATCAGTTTGTATTTACTTGATGAAGCATCTATGATACCCAAATATGCTTTGAGTGCCATTGATAAGCTATTACAAGATATTTGTAATAACAACTTTCCTTTTGGTGGTAAGGTTATTCTTATGGGTGGAGACTTCAGACAAATACTTCCAGTTGTGAGGCGAAGTCGACCAGCAGAAGTTATAGAATCATGTTTAAAATGTTCTGAACATTGGCAATATGTGCAAAGGTTCTCATTAATTGTAAATATGAGGGTTCAGATAGAAGAAGAGGAATTTTCTCAATGGCTTTTAAAGCTTGGAAGTGCAACATTACCTGTCAAGCCTTAAGATCTTTTGCGAGGGTGTATTGAAATACCTGAGCAGTGCTTTCTCAGTGATAATGAACCTATTGCGGAGAAGATTTTTGGTGGTGCAGAAGAAGCTGATTATGCAAAACGTGCTATTTTAACGCCAACAAATGTTGATTCATTGGCAATAAATGAAGAAGTCCTTCATTGTTTACCCGGTGATGTGAAAACATATTTAAGTTCAGATAGCATTGAAACTGATGATCTTAATGGAATTAAAAACTTTCCAGTCGAGGTTTTAAATAGTTTGACTCCATCAGGTATGCCTGTTCATTGCCTAAAATTAAAAATTGGTGCTGTTATAATGCTACTAAGAAATTTAGATCTCAAAGGTGGACTTTGTAATGGAACCTGTTTGATGGTGCGTGCATTACACAACAATTACATTAATGGTGAGGTTTTAACTGGTGTATCAGCTGGTAACAGGGTATTTGTTCCTCAAGTTCAATTAGCTCTATCAGATGCAAATTTACATTTTACATTTAAACGCCGTCAGTTTCCAGTTAGGTTAGCATACTCAATGACCATAAATAAAAGTCAAGGTCAAACATTTGAAAAAGTTGGTGTTTATCTCAAAAAGCTTTGCTTTTCACAATGCCAATTATATGTTGCATGTTCAAGAATAAGATCATTTAATAGTTTGTTTTTCAAAGTTGATAAACATCCATTACAAGGTATGTCATTTAACAAACATTACACAAATATTGTTGTCTTTACAAATGTTCTTAATTTATAATTTTGACAAGTATATTATGTGTTATATGTGTTTTATATTTTTTGTATATTTTTTTTTTTTTTTTTGCTATATGTGTATATAAATGTATGTGTTTATATGCGTTTATATATCTTTATTTATATTTATGTGCTTAAGTTTATACAAGTTTACATTAAGTTGTTTCCATGTGAAAAGTAGAGTTACTTGGCAACATGTAGTGCAAGATTGTGATTCTTGCTAGCCAAGCGGTGTTACTAATTAGTGGTGTTACTTGGCACTTAATGCCAAGCGGTGTTACTAAATTGTGGTGTTACTTGGCAGCGTTTAGTGCCAAGCGGTGTTACAAGTGTTGGACTAGGTTGTGTTGTCTAGCTTTTTTAATTATTCAGGAGTCACATAATCTGAATATTTTGTGTTATGTGCAAATTTGTTATGTACAAATATTTGATGCTATGTGTATTCAGTAGCATAGGCAGGGTCTTTTGATGCTTCAGATAGCACTTTCAACCAAAAAGTGTATTCGCGTTTATAGAATTAAAATACTTTGCAAAAAATTGATGTTGTTAAAGCTTAGGAACAAATGTTTAAAAAAAGTGTTTTTCCTAACCTAAATTTTTTTAGACATAACAAAGTTAAACTCTTCAACAGCTTCTAAATATTTATCTAAAACAACAAAAATCCTGCATACACTACTGATGTTACTGTTTGTCATTCTGTAATGTTGTTGTGATGTTTTGTGTTGATAGACAGCTTGGCTTACCTTCACGTTGGTGTCTATTGTTAAAAATGATTATTGGGTAGCTTCATTACTGAAACTTACTCCTAATCATTCACTAAAAGCCAAGAAATATTTTATGAAAAAATGCCTAATTTTTTTGTGTCAGTAAGAATTTTTATCTTTAGCAATGCTGATAAAACTGAAATTTTTAAAAAAAAGAGTATTTCCAGCCTTCCAACCAAATATATGAGACTTTTACAAAAGCACTCTCACAAAGTAAGTGTCTAATATTTATGTAATATTACTAAATTTCGTTTCGTATATTTCATTTTTCAAATGAATTAACATAAAACAAATAAATGTGTATTCAGTGTTATCAGTAATGATTTTTATTCATTTTTAGATAATGCTTTTATAATCAATTTAAAAGTCTTTCAAATCGTTAATCATTTTTTTAAGGCGAAGAAGAAGAATCATCAATCTTCATATTATTTAATAAAGCTATTTTAATAAAACGCAATACAAATTATTTAAACTAGTGTTTGAATAATTTGCGTGTGAATAATTTTCACGTTGTTACTTTATTTTGCAGTTTCCTATCACTTTGTATTGAATTAACTAAATCCAATATTACAGTTCCTTATATCAAGTACTTCACATTTTCTGTTTTGTTTTATGCAGAAAAACAGATCAAGTTAATTTATTTGACTTGCCTAGCTACTTATTTTACACGCCTAGCCACAGTGAGTGTGCATAAATCAACAAAGGATTTGGGTTTAAGCAGGTTGTCTTGAACTAAATGATTTAATTTCTTCATGTTAAGCTCTAAATATAAATATACGGAAAAGGTGCAAATGTGATTTTTTTTTTCTAGCACATAATCTATTGTTCACTAAAAAACATTAGATGGAGAAATAGAGATAAGGTTAATGTGGAATAGAGTTTGTCCTTTTAAGTGAAAAACTATTTTATCTATCTATCTTCTATATAATAATGCCGAACTTAATAGTAGTGTTAGTAGAAAGAGTCGCTGCACTTTTTTTAGAAGAAAACGTGTATGCAAACATCTAACGTACGTAATTAAGTAATGATAAAACATACTGAAACATTTTTCAAGTTTTATAGTTTGACTTTGACTTAAAAATTGCATTGCGTCAACCTCTCCTTAATTTTTGATCTACAGCAATTCCGTTAAAAACAATTTTTATATATTTTTAAAATTTCGATATTTGATGTGTCAGCATGGCCGAGTGGTTAGCGCGCTAAGCTTCTGAACGTAATAGTCGTGGTTCAAATTTACCACCAGCGACTAAAAAACCTCAATACATTTTATTTAATTTTTTAAATCTGCTATAAATATAGCCAGATTTAAAAAATTAAATAAAATGTATTGAGGTTTTTTAGGCGCAGATTTGAAGCCTTGCACAGCGACTCTTCATGACTCTTGATGACTGCGCACTTAACTTGTGACCTATCAAAGTTATGCATGTAGTTAGGCGCTTCAACATTTTTTTAAAAATGTAAAATGAAAACAAAATAAATACCATAAGTAAGAGCTAAATAATAACGTTTAAAAATTACCAAACTTTTTGTTATATTATTATTAGTTTTTCAAATTTTAAACCTCAAAATTTATAATTTATTTTTTTGCATGACTTTTGACGCTTTAAGCGACTAACGTTTCAAGGAATTGCATTACCGTTTCCGTCTAATTTAAAGGTAACTATAAAAGACCATTATTATTCGAAACTAAGCATATAATAATATTAAATATAGTAAATATTAACTATTAAAAATAGCTAGAACGCGACCATAAACCATGATCCATGGCTGTTCTAAAAGTAGGAAGTAGTTTAGTTTAGAATTTTTTTGTAAATAAATAAATAAACGGGGTTTAATAAGCTATATACGCATGCGGAAAGAGTGCGTATGTATTTATATATATTTAAAGTTTTTTTTTGCTCTCAAAGCAAATTTTTCAAATGAATTTTTTTCCACCGTTTACTAAAAAATATTGAAGTTAATAAGGAACAGGTAAAGAAATGATTGGCGTGGAATAGATAAATATAGAAGTAGAAGAAAAGACCTGTATTTACTGATCCGGACAGCTAGATTAAGAAAATAAGGGAAAAGGTTTGTGGAATAGACTTACAATGACCCGTATTTTTACGGGTCAACTCAGCTAGTATATATATATATATATATATATATATATATATATATATATATATATATATATATATATATATATATATATATATATATATATATATATATATATATATATAAATATATATATATATATAAATATATATATATATGTATATGTATATATATATATATATATGTATATATATATATATATATATATATATATATATATATATATATATATATATATATATATATATATATATATATATATATATATATATATATATATATATATATATATATATATATATATATATATATATATATATATATATAAATATATATATCCTAATAGTGTAGTCGAAGGAGACAAGTCTCTTTCGACTACAGTTTTTTTACCTCGTCTCTTAAGCTCTCGTTGAAATGTTAAAGCAATTAAATTAATGCGGAAGTACATTAATTTTTATTGTTTTTTAAAAAAACCGCAATAATAATGACTAGAAAGTTTTTTTTTAATTAGTGGTGCTTTTGTTTTCGCTTTTTAAAAAAAACGTTTTTAAAACATGTGTAAGTGTTGCTACATCGACTATTTTATAGCCTGAATTGCATGGGGGTGTTGCAACATCGACTATCTTATAGCCTGACTCGCAAGGAAGTGCTGCTACATCGACTGACAAATAGCCTGACTCGCAAGAGATTGCTCCTACATCGACTGATAAATAGCCTGAATCGCAAGAGAGTGCAGCTACATTGACTGAGGGTTTAAACTGGAAAGGCAGTCTATCATAAAAAAAAAAAAAAAAAAATTCTAAAGTTTTTTAACATTTTTTGGTAAGGTTTATTAATTATTTTATTAATTTGTTTGTTATATATATGTATATATATATATATATATATATATATATATATATATATATATATATATATATATATATATATATATATATATATATATATATATATATATATATATATATATATATATATATATAATTAGGTACGCGGATATCGCGATTTACGGAACCGATTTTTGTGCTAAATTTTTGGTTCTCGTTTTTTTCACTCTTTTTTAAGGCAGCGTGAGGCAGACGTAGTTTTGTGAAATTTCTTTTTAGAAACAGATATACACATAGATATTTTTTGGAAAGAAGAAAAGCTAATCTTGCTTTATTAAAAAAATTTATGCATAGTTATTACAATTTTTTATCGATTATTTTGCTTCTGAATATTTGATTGGTGTTCTCACACGAATTTGTAGTAGAAGAAATGTTGAGCCGGCTTTTTTTTTTTTATTCAGACATATTTCTACATGCATTTTCTATGGGCATGCCAAATTTCAACGAAAAATAATTGGTAGCAGATAGTTTAAAATGTATTATATTACTTATACCACTTATTTTAGGTAGCCTTAGGTAAACGTTTTTTTTTTGTGTTTGTTTAAAGAAACATGCATAAACATAAATTATTTTCATAAGGAAGAAAGGTTGATCTAGATTTTTATATGACTTTTATGCATGGTTACCCAACATTTTTATGTATTATTTTGCTGACAATATTGCATGAAAATATTGTCCCTGTTCTCACATTAATTAAATGTCGAAGGAACGTTGAGCCGGCTTTTTTTGTTAGTTTTTCTATATTTTACATGCATTTTCTAAGCACCTGCCAAAAATCAACGAAAAATATATGGTAGCAGATAGTATACTAGGTGTTAGACTTTTGGTACATAAATTTGGTTTTTCTTTTGTTTTTTTTTCGTTTAGCTTGTTACGGGTGTGGATAGGGGGGCGACTATACAAAAACATAACAAATTCCAATATCGTATTATTTTGAATTTTATTTTTAGATTAAAATAAATAATGAATAACAGAGATGTTGTTAGATTTATAACAGATAGTAAGTTTAATTTCTTTTATAATAATATCAATAATAACTATTTTAAATCAAAAAAATATTTATATATCATTTGTTAATATTTTCTTATTTAAAATTCTTTTTTATGTAACTATAATTTATCTGTTTTTAATAAAAATTTTATATTATAAAAACAGATTAATTCTTAATCTCTTTTTATATGTTACATTAAAAAGAAGATTAATGCTTCAATTTAAAACTTTGCTTTTGAATGTATTGTTAACTGTTAGTATCTGTTGTCAATTTTATTATGACACAAAATACAAATCAGATAATTCATTGGTTTATTACTTGCAAAAATCTTGTTAGCATTTTTCAAATATAATAAAACTTATCATCTTATTATCATCTTTTATTATTTTTGGATTGTATACTTCTTTATCTTTGGATTATTATTTAAATCATAATACAAGCATGCCTAATGTTTACATGTTGTTTAGACCCTGCTGCACATTATGAAGCTGACGAATGAAGCTTTTTTGACCCTGACGAATGAAGCTTTTTTGAGATATCGTAAGTATAAATCACATATTTTATATATAACCACAACCAATATAATGTAATTAATATATAAACAAAGTGAATAACCATTCCTGATGTTAGCTTGTTGTTTATTAATATATTTTCTTTACATTTTCACTGCTAGTTTTCATTATGTTAATACAGTTGTTGCATCTTCCACATAACTATGATTCTTTCATAATTTCATAGTGTTTTGTTGTAATTATACACTTTTTTTGTTATTTTTAGTTCAATCTACCCAGCCTACCACAGGTAAGTTTGTAACCTACCACAGGTAAGTTTGTATAGGATAACTAGATTATCAAATATAAGAATGTATATCTTGGTTTAATTTATATTATTTTTGATCTTCATTCCTTTTATCAGTTGCTACGGTTAGTTATTTTAAAAGCTAGTACTTTTTAATCTGTAAATAGATTTAATACCAATTTCAAAATCGTCAATTGCAAAATTTATTTTTTTTATTACTTTTTTTACCTTTAGCAACATCTTCATCTGCAATTAGTGGTAAGTTTAGCAATTATTAATTTTTAATTTTTGCATTTCTTGAACATTGCAAATTTATTTTTTATTAAAACTTTTTAGCTCTAGTTCCATCCTCAATTGCATTGAGTGGTAAGCTTAAAAATATTTTTATTGCATCCTTCAAAAAGCCTGTTCATGTATGTATGTACTTCGGATCAATTGCAATATTAATTTTTTATTACACTTTTTTTTAACTTAGTTCCATCTACATCTGGAATAATTGGTATGTTTACAAAATTTTACTTTTTTCATATGTTTATGCATTTCTTAGCAATCACAATATTTATTTTTATTTCAACTTTGTTAACCTTTAGTTACATCTTCAGCTGCTACAAGTGGTACGTTTGTAAACTATTATTTTCTAATATGTGTATGCATAATTTACATGTGTAAAAGTATTTTTTCTAATATGTGCATGCATATTTTATCGATTGCAAGTAAATTGTATATTTATTTTTAAAAAATTTTACCTTTAGTCCCACAACCTCCACAACAATCAACACAACCTTCTGCTGGTAAATTTATGATTTAGAAATGTTGCTGAATGATTATTTAATTCATTATATTTTTATTTATATTCACAAATTAGTACATTTATATTATGTTATCCTTCAAAGTGCAGTAGTAGTAAAAACCCAGAGCAGTATTTGATTTTTTACTTTAATTAACATTTTTTAAGCTATCATTGATTTATTATTTGTTAATTTTATTAATGCAGCCAATCAAATAATCTTGAGGAGTTTTCTAGGGAAAAGGTGATTAAATGGTCTATTTACATGGCACGTAAAAAAAGAATCAAAAATCGACTACTACATAATGAAATTCGAGCAGAGATTACTGGTAGACAAGCGTTCAAGCGCCAAAAAATGGACGAAAAACAAAAACGAAAGTTAGAGCGTGAGCTGTGTTTATTAACTACCAGTGAAATGATGCATAAATATAAACACTTGTCTGCGAAGCAACTAGAAGATTTAGATGATGTTATGTCAGAAAGTAAACAAGAGCCAACAAGACAAAATATACACTATTTCTTACTGGAAAAAAGATGAAACTGATCTTGAAGCTATTGAATATAAGATGAAAAAAATACAGCTCGCAGCTGATGTTATAACAGGAGAATTAATATTTTCTTAAATTAAATATGAAAATAATTTAAATTATATATAACTATATTTATATAATTAGAGATTAACAAAGAGGTACCGCAAGTTGTGTAGCTTGCAAATATGGTATAGCAAGTTGTGTAGCTTGCAAAAGGAGTACCGCAAGTTGTTTAGCTTGCAAATATGGTACAGCAAGTTGTGTAGCTTGCAAAAGGAGTACCGCAAGTTGTGTAGCTTGCAAATATGGTACAGCAAGTTGTGTAGCTTGCAAAAGGAGTACCGCATGTTGTGTAGCTTGCAAATATGGTACAGCAAGTTGTGTAGCTTGCAAAAAGAGTACCGCAAGTTGTGTAGCTTGAAAATATGGTACAGCAAGTTGTGTAGCTTGCAAAAGGAGTACTGCAAGTTGTGTAGCTTGCAAATATGGTACAGCAAGTTGTGTAGCTTGCAATAAGAGTACCGCAAGTTGTTTAGCTTGCAAATATGGTACATCAAGTTGTGTAGCTTGCAAAAATTTTTTGATAGACGGCTCTGGCTTACCTTCTCGTTGTGTCTATTGTTAAAAATGATTTATTTAGTTTCATTATTGGAATTTTAAATAATATCATTTACTAAAAGCTAAGACATAAATTCTATAATTTGTATTTTAAAACTTTTTAAAATATAAGTTTTAAAACTAAGGTTAATTTTTAGGGTGGATACTCCAACCTGCATCTTGTTATGTGGTAAGATTATTAAAGTTATGTCTCGCTTTTTACACAATTTAAAGACATTTTTGAAATTTTTATTGACAATTTTTTAAAGTTTAAATAAGAAGAGGTGGGGGGGGGGGACGTTGGGCGTGGCACACACCCCTCCCCTCACTAACATGGTAAAATAATCTTAAATACTAATTTCTCTTTTTAAATAAACTCAGTTTAAAACCATTTTTTAAATATCTTTTAAAATTTTTTTTTAGGTTGGAGAAGACTGAGAGGAAGGGGGGGAGGGGCGTTAATCTTGGCATCGTTCCGCCCCTAATGTCAATTTATGCACCACTTGTATATTCTGTTAAGTAAAAAAATATAATTTAAAGTCCTTAACACAAAATATAATCAGTGTTTTTTAGGCTCAAATATTTATAAGATGGTAACATTTCACTACAAGGGTGTTAAAACGTAACAAATACATCCAACCTTTAATCTAAAATAGACCAATAATATTTGGAAAAGTAATGGAAGCAAATTAGAACAACTTTTTGTGTATAAAGATAACAAATTTTATCAGCAAAATACTCTTTCATGTGAAAAACTTGCATTTTTTTAAGGTTTCGATGGTGTTTCGTTACCCCCTCTGGCCCTCTAGACACCCCTTTTATCTATAGAGCTATATGAACTTGTAGCCTACTATTACATCTATCTTTTGATACCAAGGTATAGGCATTTGGATAAAATTTGACAAAGTTATAACAATTTCAGTGAAAAAAAAATTGATTTTGGAAGAAATCCATATATATCGAAAATTTGCTACTAAAAACGTCATAACTTTTTTTCAAATTGTTTGTTTTTAATAATTTTTTTACCATTAAAATACATTTTTGAAGGGCTTTCTAATGATATATAACATTGTAGTATATGTTCAATTAAAAAAAATCAGTCTACGTACCTAATATAATATATATTTATTTTATGTTATATATATATTATATATAAACATTTCATGCAATTTTATCGACTAAATAAAGAATTTTATTTTATTATTAAAGTTATATATATAACTTTAATAATAAATATATATAACCTTATAAAAGTTTTTTATAAGGTTATATATATTTAACTTTATAAAAAACTTTTATTTTTTACGTAAAAAATGAATGTTTTTTATAAGGTTAGATACATCTAACTTTATTACCAACCGAGTTTTTTTATTAAATAAGCATCTTTCACATAATATCTTTTGCATAAAAGTTATGATAATATGAATCATGATATCAGCATCATATTATTATATCATATTATGATATCAGCATAACATTTATACAAACTAAAGTATAATAACAAAGCATTTATAGAAACATTTATACGAACCAAAATATAATAAAATTTAGCTGTAATAATAGAATATCTTGTAAACTTTTAGTTTTACTTTTATAGTACCATCACGGATAACGAAAAAAATATTCAAGTAATGTTAATTATTGCAAAAACGATAATCGGCCAAATCTCTGTATTCACCGTATTCGGGCCAGTGCCGGCCCAAAATCAAATGCCGTCTTAGTGACTTACGACTATTCGCCAGAGTTCTAGCATATCGTCGCACGCCGATGCGACTTCTTGAGATAATTTTTCGTACATAAAAAGTTGCTTGAATCGCTTGCCAGACTCGCGCCAGTAATGGCCCGTTACAAATATAGTCGCAACGGCGTGCGATGATTCGCCAGAGTACTGGCCCGGAGTCGTGTGCTGTCTGGGTAGTACCGCGTTCAATTTGTTTCTTCGCGTAGCGGTCTTGTTTGTCATGGTTTTTGTTTCGGAATTATTGAGTTGAGAGAGAATTTTTACAACAACTTAAGCAGCCTCCTCGACTGTTGTGGCTTTTTCGGCCTTGTGAAGGTAAATTAAACGTAAAAGTAAACTAGCAAAGAAAAAGTTAGACACAATTTAAAAAGTTCTTTTTTCTGCGGAAACATCAGAATACTTTCTGTACTATATATTTGCGTAGAATTAAGTAACAAGTAAGGGTTAAAGATAACTAATTTAAAGTGAAACATTTCGCTAAAATTCACAGTTAAATTATTTAGAAACACAATAAACTTTCTTGTGACATGACTATTCTATTTGATATCGTTAATACGGGTAAATGACCTAACAAAACCTTTTTCTTAAAAATATGTTTCTTGTTGTTCTATACTATAAAATTATAATTTACGACTAGAATATACATCGTGAGTTAAATATTATTAAAAGTATAAGATGTCTAACTTGCGGGATATTAATGACAAAAAGCTGAAGCTGCTACTTTTTGTTTTTAACAATAGTCTGCCATTTGTAAAAAGGGCAAAAGCTGAAGCCGAAGTGTGGAATAAAAGTTAAAAGTGCAAGTCAAAAGTTCCCAATAAATTAAAGATAATTTACAAACAAATTCAATAATTTTAAAGTACTTATAAAAATTTTTTTATGAGCCAATGTAAATTAAAAAGTATTTTAATTCATAAAAACTTTTCAAAAGCGTCTGTTGTTTTACTTTTCTATTCCAACCTTTTATCTCTTTTTAATTGAAAATAAATAAAAGAAGCATAAATTATTGTTTTGAAAGTATTATAATTTCCGCTTAACACTTTTACGTAAATAGTATTTAAATTTAAAATATATTTAATTCATTTAAGAAAAGAAAAGTTAAAAATATTTGTTTACAAATTAAACCCGCCTTTCGCAAATAAGGCAGAAAGCGGCTCCACTTTTCGGATCGAAGTTAGACATTTAGTTATATGATGTATCATTGGACTTTATTCGTTTAATAAGTATCCGTAAACTAACGCAGGCGCATAATATCAATTTGTCTACTTATTTAACAACCTACTTATTTAACGTGACACTCGTCTTTTAACAGAAATCGTTTCATTTCCAGCGTGCGCTAGAAGTCCTTACTTTGAAATATGCATTATAAAAGTGTTAACATTGGGGTGAAGTGGAATAAAAAAAAGAAATATTTATGCCCCGCTACTTGCCGTTGCCATTTAATTGTTTGATTGATGAAGCTCCTTAACATTTTTATGTTGATTAGGAGATTTTATGATTTTATCACTTTCTATTTAACAATTTGTGTTAAAATGCTGTTTTAAAAAAATTTGTCCTACTTCTACTCATATTTGTCCTACTTTGCCCCTATGGCACGGTTTCTCTAAAAGCAAAAACTTATATACTTAGTTATAGCTGGCTAAAAACCAAAGGGGATTGAATCGGTGCTTGAAAATAAAGCTTGTTTGTAAAAACTTGTATGGCTAAAAGTGGGCCTACGGTTACAGTATAGTAATTGTAACTTATTTACAATTACTATACTATAGTCATATTTACTGTGTATTTCCTGTTGATCTATATAGACTTTTTAAGCAGTTCATTAGTGTTTTACTCCTCCGTTACTTATAGCAGAGCCAACTGCTATAAATGGCCAGCATATAACTTTCCGACATGTTTTTAGTAATGTTTTTATTTAAGTTAGGCATTTAGTTATATTTTAACATATTAGGCTATGTGAATAAAAATAAGTAATTGCTTTTACTCAGTATTTGGCCACTTTTACGTGAATAAAATCTTCAGCAGTTTTGCTCAAATATTTATTTTTATAAAGATAAGCAATTTACTCTGTAATTGCTTAGCTTTACATGAATAAAAACATTAGCAAATCGCTAAAGTTTTAATTTACGTAAAGCTGACCAATTAGTTAGTAAAAGCAACTGCTTATTTTTATTCATCCAACCTATGAAGCAATTTATAATTATTCATTTGCGCGAGTTTGTCACGGAACTCACTGCA